ATTTCTGTCAATTCTCTCCTCGGCCTCTGCTCCAGAAAAGAGAAAACAAGTGTTTTTTTTTTTTTTTTTCTAGTCTCTCCTTTTATAGCTCATACCCTGTCATCCAGGCAGCGTCCTGAAAAACCTTTTCAGCACCCTCTCCAAAGCCTTCCTGTAATGTGGTGACCAGAATTGAACACAATACTCTAAGCATGACCTAACAAAAGTCTTAAAGCTGCAACATGACATCCTGATTCTTGTACTCCATTCCCTGACCAATAGAGGCAAGCGTGCTATATGCCTTCTTTCCCACCTTATCTACCTGCATGGTCACTTTCAGGGAGCTATGGACTTGAGCCCTGACATCCCTCTGTACCTCAATGCTGTTTAGAGTTTGGCCATTAACTATACCTTTCCTTAACGTTTGATCTCCCGAAGTGCAGCATCTCACACTTAGCCAGATTAAACTTCATCTGCCATTTCTCTGCCCATATCTGGAACTGATCTATACCCTGCTACATCTTTTGACAACATTTCTGCACTATCCACAACTCCACCGATCCTTGTATTGTCTGCAAACTTACTAACCCACCCATCTACATTTTCATCCAAGTCATTTATATAAATCATAGATGTTAGTCTGTCGCTCTGGATTGCTAGTCTAGTGACACTACCGATACATCACAGCCTCCCTTTAAATGGTGTTTGGTATGGAGAAATGTAAGGTCATCCACTTTGGTAGGAACACCAGGGTCTGGTACCCAAGCATTCAGAATTCTCTCTCTGGATTCTGCGTAATCCAAGATGGAAAAATTGTGGCTGTAAGAGCTGCTCTGTTTTTTGGCAGATGGAGTTATCTTTAGATAGATCTGGGGTGCTGCTAGGTGGATTAGACATGGGCAGTGCAGGTTTACAGGGATAGGATGGGGGTGGGTCTAGTTGGGATACTGTTCAGAGGGTTGGTGTGAACTCGATGGGCCGAATGGCCTATTTCCACACTAGGCATTCTACGATTCTATACTACATTTTTGGAGAGGCAAATCGAGCAGGACTTGTACGTTTCATGGTAAGGACCTGAGGATGTTGCTGAGCAAAGACCTTGGAATGCAGGTTCATGGTTCCTTGAAAGTAGAATTGCAGGTAGATAGGATATTGAAGAAGGCATTTGGTGTGCTTGCCTATATTGGTCAGTGCTTTGAATATAGGAGTTGGGAGGTCCTATTACAGCTGTACAGGACATTGGTTAGGCCACTTCTGGAATACTGTGTTCAGTTTTTGTCTCCCTGCTATAGGAAGGATGTTGCAAAGCTTGAAGGGTTCAGAAAAAATTTACAAATGTATTGCTGGGATTAGAGGTTTTGAGCTATAGGGCGAGGCTGAATAGGCTGGGGCTATGTTCCCTGGGTCGTCAGAGGCTGAGGGGGTGACTTTCTAGAAGTTAATAAAATCATGAGAGCTTGAATAGGGTGAGTAGCCAAGGTTTTTTTCCCCCAGGGTGGGGAGTCCAAAACTAGAGGGCACAGGTTGAAGTTAAGGGGAAAGATATAAAAGGGACCTAAGGGGCAGCCTTTTCACACAGAGGGTGGTGCGTGTATGGAATAAGGGGTGCCAGAGGAAGTGGTGAAGGCTGGTATAATTACAACATTTAAAAGGCATCTGGATGGGTATATGAATAGGGTTATGAGCCTATAGGGTTGAGGGTTATGGGGCAAAAGCTGGCTAGTGAGACTAGATTACTTTAGGATATCTGGTTGGCATGGGCAACTTGGACCAAAGGGTCTGTTTCTGTGCTGTACAGTGCTATAACTCTATAATTGGCATTCCAAAACATCATCAGGTTTTTATGACCAGTCATGACCACTGTTTTTAAAACATTCATCTTAACAGTTGAGATCTCTTAGCTGCCACTAATATTTTTCAGTCAGTTTGCAGATTCAGCTCATTGTCAGTCCCCATTCTCTGTACGTGAATGATACTTGGATGATTACTGTAATTAAATGGTGAGAAGTTGGAAAGTTTTGAATTAGAGAGATCGGAGTATCCTTGTTCATGAGTCACTGAACATTAACATGCAGGTACAGAAAGCTATTAAGACAAGTGGTATGTTTACCCAATTCTCTTGCAATAAAGGTCTGTGTGTGAAGATATCTTGCTGAAATTATAGAGCCTTGGGGAGACTGCACCTGGAATATTGTGTGCAGTTTTGGAGGGATGCACTTGCCATTGAAGGAATTCAGCAAAGGTTTCACAAACCAATTTCTGGGATGGAGGAATCGCTCTGCTTTCAAGAATGAGAAGTGGCTTTGTTGCGACAAACACATTTTTACAGAACGCAACTGGATGTATGCGGGAAGAATGTTTACTGACTTGTAGGCACTGTCCCTATTTAAACTGCAAAGCTGAGTGTTTGTTTGTGCAGTCACCCCAACACAAATGATGTTGGCTTCCTGCATGCTGATCACAGCATTGACTTTATATTCTGGAAGTCACTGTTATATCCATGGGCGTTCCCCACAGTTGGAAAGAAAATTAAAGGGAATGCTGCTCATGAGGATGCTGTGGAACCCAGCTGGGGACGGGGTCTCGGAGTAGGGATTTAGCCATATGGGACTGAGCTGAGTGGGAATTTCTTCATGTGGGAAAGGGTGATGTTGATGGTGAATCTTGCATAAATCTGAGTCTCAATTTTGAACATACTCAATGTTTGAACGTTCATAATCCTGACAGATCTAAGAGCAGAACAGGCAGAAATATATAAAAGCCTGGTTAGGTCAGCTGAAGTACTGCGCACAGTTCTTGCCAATATTATTGGAAGGATGTGATCAGGGCAGAGGGAGTACATAAGAGATTTGTGAGGATGTTTCCAAGAATTGAGAATTCTTGGAATGCAAGAAAACTGGATGGAATACTTTTTAATCTGAGGCTGATGGAGATTTTAATAAAGGTGTATAAAATACAAAGAGCCTAGGTAGAGACAATAGGAATGCCCTAATACTTGTAGCAGAGATATCAATAACAAGAAAGCAGAGGCTTCATAATTGGTAGGAAGATTAGACGGCAATTGAAAAGGGTGGTGATCTGTCATCCATTTTGTGTTTATTTAAAAAAAAAATGCTTGGATATGCACTTGAAGAGGTGTAAACTATAAAGAAATAGGTAGAAAATGGGGTTAGACCAGAGAGCTTACTTTCACCTAGCAATGAGAAAGATTTGAATGGCTGCTTTCTGTGCTGTAAATTTTCACTGGCTGGAATTCTGTGGCATGGCAGCTCAATAGCTGGTGGGGGCACAATTTTTCGCCATGGCTGTGGTCCTGTGCCTGCTGCATTCTTGCCTTTTCCCACTCCAGCTGGGAATTTTCCAGTGGCAGAGGAAGTGTTAGACAACCTGCTGGGGATTTAACCGTGCTGAGGGGCCAGCCATGAGGAGGTGAAAATCAGCTGACGGGTAGTATTAAGGTAGATTAGTCCCCAAGTCCTGATGTGATCTATCCCAGTATATTGAGTGAGGCAAGAGAACACATTGCTGGAGCATTGACAATTGGTCTAGAGGACTGGAGAATAACTACATTGTCCCATTGTTTAAGAAGGGTAGCAGGGATAATCCAGGAAGTTACAGGCCTGTGAACCTCACATTGTTGGTAGGGAAATTTATTGGAAAGGATTGTCAAGGACAAGATCCATACGCATTTGGAAGCAAATGCACTGAGTGATAGACAGCATGGTTTTGTGTAAGGGAGCTGTGTGTCACTAACTTGATCAAGTTTTTTGAGGAGGTGACTAAGATGATTGCGGGAAACGTGGTTGATTTTTGAAGTCCTTGTAGACAACAAAGCCTTTGAGAAGTTCCTTCATGGCAGACTGATACAAAAGGAAAAGTCACATGGTATCATGGATGAGCTGGCAAGATGGATACAGAACTGGTGTAGTCATAGGAGAGGGTAGTGGTAGAGGGATGCTTTTTGGAAGGGAGGGTTGTGACGAGTAGTGTTCCACAGGGATCGGTGCTGGGAACTCTGCTGTTTTGTGGTGTGAATAAGTGATTTGGAATAAAACCTAGCTGGTTTAATTAGTAAGATTGGAGTTGCAGATTGACGAGGATTGTCAGAGGATACAGCAGGATATGGATCAGTTGGAGGCCTGGGTAGAAAACTGCAGAAGGATGTGGATGCTTTGGAGAGGGTACAGAAAAGGTTTACCAGCATGGTGCTGGTCTGTGGGATTTTAGCAATGAAGAAAGGTTGGATAGATTGGATTTGTTTTCACTGGAACGCAGGAGGTTGAAGGGTGACCTGATAGAAGTTTGAGATTGTGAATGGCATGGATAGAGTGGAAAGTATGAGACTTTTTTCTTAGAGTGGAGGAGTTGATTCCTCGGGGACACGGTTCAAAGTGGGATTGCGGGTGGAGGGTGGGCATAGTTTGAGATATGAGGAATGCTTTTCACATAAAGGGTGGTGAGTGCCTGGGTAGTGCTGCCAGAGAAAGTGGTAGATGCAGACGCAATAGCAGCATTGAAGAAACACCTGGATGAATACTTCTATACGAAGGGAATAGAGGGATACGGATCCTGTAAGTGAAGACAATTTTAGTATGGAAGGGTAAAATGTGTTGGTGCAGGCTTGGAGGGCTGAAGGGCCTGTTCCTGTGCTGTGTTCTTCTGTCATGTTTAACTGTTTACGAAAGCTGTAGAATTTTTTTCAAAAGTTCATTCTATATGATTTGAAATCCTTATCAAATCTTCATAATTTATGGTTCTAGCAGAGCCATGGACAGTTAATTTGATTTATAGTGGGGCTTCAGCATGCATGTGAAATGGCGCTCTTTATTTCAAATGGATGAGTGGGCAGTGCCTTAAAACTAAAGCTCACCACTTCTGCTGTTGTAAGTCTAACTTGAGTGACTTTTGATGCAGTGCTTTTTTTTTTTTTTGAAGCAGTCCCTTTTATCACTAATGCCAATGTTGTTTCTTTTTGTTACGTTATCTAATAGGCGCACTATAAAAATAACTGTGGTTATTAGTGTTTTAGGTGATGATGTGTCTGGCTCTTCGGACTGTTTTGGTTCTGAGGAATGTCAGCCTAAGACAGAGCATCCAGACAGAACTACACAGCAACTTCTTTCTGTGGATGACACATCAGCCAGAACCAGGCCTCTCCGGATGCAGCATAAGCACAGGCCTTTTGGTCATGTTTATGACACGAGCAGATGGGTGAGTTGAATTGCTTAAAACCAAGTTCAGGAAGCTTTTGCTTTGTGATTGAAGGTGCCAGCCTAACATGTGAATTTTGTGCTCATTAAGGCAATGTTGTTGTTAGGAATTGAAGATGTGAGGTATCTAGTGTCAAAAGATGGGCAGTTTTCAACTGTGGGCCTGTATGCGTGAGGTGCAAATTTGAAACTTCCCCAATTCACTCCCAAGAAGACAATAGATAAAGGAGACATCCTCCTTGTCAGTTTAAGCTGACTTGAACCAAGGACTATAAATAAAAGTTAAGTATTTAATCAATTAAATTATTTTTGGCTTTTCTTACCATATAATTACATTCGTTCAGTTTTTTTTGTAACTAAGTAGAAGCAGAAGTATTTTACCAATTGCATACTATCGACTACTGTGAAAGCAGAACTGGAGTCACTGGGAGTCAGGAAGTTGGGTGGGGGAGGTGGAAGCTCTTGTGCTGATTAGAGTCTTAGCTAGCAAGAAAATGGTTGATCATCTTGGCTTCAGGATATCATTGGAGGAGTTCCTCATGGCAGTTTGAGAACAACTGCTTCTTGATTTATCTCCCCTTTTTATAAGGTCAGAATTGGGAATATTCACTGTGCAATGCCTAGCACCATTCGCAACTCCTCCAATACTGAAGCAGTTTGTGCAGCAAATCTCAACACCCAGTTTTGGGCTAACAAATAGCAAGTGACATTCACATCACACAAGTGCCAGGCAGTGACCATCTTCAATGAGAGACAATCTAACCATATCACCTGGATGTTCAATGGCATTACTGTCACTGAATTTTCGATCAGTGACATCCTGGGGTTACCATTAACCAGAAATTGAACTAAACAGCCATGTAGACACTGGCTACAAAAGCAGGTCACAGACTAGGAATCTGTTAACTTGCCTCCTTTACTTCAGTGCCTATCCATCACCATCTATAAAACACAAATTAGCGGTATGATAGCATATTTTCCGCTTGCCTGAATAGGTGCAGCTCCAACAACTAAATTCACCACCATCCGGGACAAAACAGTCAGCTTGATCGGTATGCCTTCTGTCAATGCAGTGTGGCTGCAATGTGTGACGTCGGCATAATGTACTGCAGTAACTCACCAAAACTCCCTTGGCAGCACCTTTGAACCAGTGACCGCCGCCATTTTTAGGGATGAGCTGTAAATGTTGTCTGTTAGTGACACACACTTCTAATGAACAAATAACATAGAATGTGGCTTTGGACCTGACGCTGAAATCATGTGAAGGACATCGTTTAACACAGTTAGCTATTATTAAGAGTCAGTTGTTGCACTTGAGTATTTTCAAAGTAGGATGCAAAACAAAATGATTTTTTTCATTGTCTTGATAACAGTTAGTAACTGACATGAAAATTGCTTCAGTTTGCACATTGAAACTTTGAATGTAGATATCAGTTTTACTTCAGTTTTTGATGTTCATAAGGACTGTAAACTATCAGGCAGTGGCTAAAAGTTCTGAGGAAGGGTCACTCAACCCAAAATGTTAACTGATTTCTGTCCACAGATGCTGCCTGAGCTTATCCAGCAATTTCTATTTTTGTTTCTAAAAGCAATATGTGTTAGAATAGTGAAACATACTACTTCAATAGATTTTGTTTGTAATTCCTCCTAAAAAGGAGGAAAATTATGTAGTGTTTTCTACTTCTGAGAATTATACACTCAGCATTTGGATGTTCATGTATACATAGGTGTATACACAGATGGACTGGATGATTACATAGATGATCTGGAGTTGGGGACTAAGTGTGCTGTGTCAAAATTTGCAGATGACACTAAGGTGAGTGGTAGAGCAAAGTGTGCAGAAGACACTGAAAGTCTGCACAGGGATATAGATAGTCTAAGTGAGTGGGCAAAGGTCTGGCAGATGGAGTACAATGTTGATAAGTGTGAGGTCATCCATTTTGGTAGGAATAACTGCAAAATGGACTGTTTTAAATGGTAAAAAATTGCAGCATGTTGCTGTGCAGAGGGACTTGGGTGTCCTTGTGCATGACTTGCTAAAAGTAGGATTGCAGGTGCAGCAGGTAATTAAAAAGGCAAATGGAATTTTGTCTGCCATTGCTAGAGGGATGGAGTTTAAAAACAGGGAGGCTGTACTGCAGCTGTATAGAGTCCTGGTGAGGCCACACCTGGAGTACTGTGTGCAGTTTTGGTCTCCTTACTTGAAGAGATATACTAGCACTGGAGGGGGTGCAGAGGAGATTCACTTGGTTGATTCCAGAGTTGAGAGGGTTGGATTATGAGGAGAGACTGAGTAGACTGGGATTAAACTCATTGGAATTCGGAAGAATGAGGGGAGATCTTATAGAAACATATAAGATTATGAAGGGAATAGATAAGGTGGAGGCAGGGAGGTTGTTTTCGCTAGCAGGTGAAACTAGGACAAGAGGTCTTCGCCTCACAATAAAGGGAAACGGATGTAGGATTGAGGTCAGGAGGAACTTCTTCACCCAAAGGGTTGAGTCTATGGAACTCCCTGCCCAGTGAAGCAGTTGAAGCTACCTCACCAAATGTTTTTAAGGCAAGGCTAGATAAATTTTTGAATAGTAAAGGAATTAAGGGTTATGGTTAGTGGACGGGTAAGGGGAGCTGAGTCTCAAGATCAGCCATGATCTTATTAAATGGCGGGGCAGGCTCGAGGGGCCAGATGGCCTACTCCTGCTCCTAGTTCTTATGTTCCTATGACTCGCAAATGTGATGCGTGGCACAGTTGAATATCCAATAGCTTGTCTCCTGCATGAAGGCAACGTGAAGTATTAGGAAGGTATTCGTACCTGCAAGGGAAGTCCTATAAGAGTTAGCTCTTCCAGCAGAGGTGGGAGTACAAATCACAAACTGCCTCTTTTTTGTTTTTCTTTCCTACCCCTCAGGTCCCCTCCCTTTTCCCCCATCTCCTCTTCCTTCCCTCAGGTGCCCTGACATTGACACCAGCTTTAATAATTTCACTTGGATCCCCAGATCAAACTTCTAAAGTAATGTCTTCCTTCCATCATTTTATGCAGGCATTTCATAGCTAGGAGCATTACTGTGCAAAAGTGAGACACTGAAAATGGCAACTAATGACAGTAAAGACATTACAACTCCTCCTATTTTCTGTTAGTGATTTTGAAGCACCCTTCGTGTTCAGAACGAGGAATCAGTTGCTAAATAAAGTGCATGAATCTGGGGGAGGCGATGGCCTGGTGGTATTATCACTGGACTGTTAATCTAGAGACCCAGATAACGTTCTGGGACCTGGGTTCGAATCCTACAGCAGATCGTGGAATTTGAATGCCAATATCTGGAATGAAGAGTCTAATGATGACCGTGTTGTCGATTGTTGGGAAAAACCCATCTGGTTCACTAATGTCCTTTTTTAGGGAATGAAACTGCCATCTTTATCTGGTCTGGTCTACATGTGACTCCAGACCCACAACAATGTTGTTGACTCTGAACTGTCCCCTGGGCAATAAATGCTGCCTAGCCAGTGATCCCTCAACCCTTTAAATAAATTAAAAAAAAAAAAAAAAAAAAAAAAAAAAAATTATGGCTAATAACTCATACACCTATCATATGATTTTATTTCACATAATTATATTGGATATAATTTTCCCTACGTGACCATGCACAGTTGTCACTTCTGCATCCATTGAAACAACACTCTTAATATAGACCATAAAAGTTCTTTATGCGAGCGTGGAGGGAGGATGAATAAATGATCGTTGTGATGATCAGTAGAGCTGATTAAAGTTTAGTTGAAAAGATATATTGTTAAATGAATTTATAAGTGAAGAATGAAATCAAGTCACATAAGGACGCAGGTAAGGAGTTTGAGAATAGTGGATGTGACAGAGGGCTTTTCCGCTAGAGTTGTGATGAAGGTATGTTGATGACCGGAAAAACTAGAGTAGAAGAGCAGAAGTCGTGAAAGATTAGATTTGAGGTGTCAGATAATTAGTGTTACAAAGCTAGCAACAAGGAACTGTACACTTCATTCTGGATAGATTTGGCAATCACTGGGTTCCATAATGGTTTTCAATCGATGGCACCGTTTCACTGCTTTCCAGATCAGGAAGATAGTGTTTTCCTGCTGATTATTGTTAAAATGAATCATGCTGTTCTATTAACTCTTTATTCAGCCTTCTCTGTAGAGTCAAAATTGTCCCAATATCTCAACACATTTTAATCACTTCTAGTACTGATATGTTTTTCAGAATGTCACTCAAATTATGAAGTCCAAGCCAATGTAAATTTAATAAGAACAGGAGTAAGCCATTTAATCCTTGAGTCTCTTCAGCCATTTACTGGGGTCATGGCCTATGACCTGTGTCCGATTATTTCTTAAGAAAAATCTGTCTGTTTCAGATAGATATCTTAGTTTTGTGTAGTTTCAATTGTCATTTGCAGAAGGGAGTTCCAAAAGGTAATGTTACTAAAGAGCAGTGAATTTTCCTAGTACCCTGCATAAAACGTTTTCCTATGTCAGTGCAATAATTTAACCAAGCACTTATATACTTTAATTTGTGGCATAAATTTGGCCTTAATATTTGCCTACATTACTGCCAATGGGCAAAAACAGCAATGCACTGCATGAAATGCTTTGAGCTATTGTGTAAATATGAATTATTAGTCAAAATTCCATAATTCTGACCTTAACTGTAAAAAAACAGGTTATCTTAGGCCAGTATATCTATGGTACCACCAATCTTTATCTTAAATACTCTGAAAGAATATAATTCAACTTTACAGTGCCAACACTATTAGCTTGTTCCTTTGACCACCACCTTCCAGGTGCTAGTGGTACTTTTGAGGCTGCAAGATATCAGTAGTATTCCTACATAAAAAATTTAGTAGCCTTAACTTAATTGTCCAGAATATAAACAATTACTAAAATATCATATTAAGACGTTTTCATTGTACTTTCACTGTACTATACTTCAGTTTAATGCTGGCACTCACATTACATTTTGTCAGCAATTATTTGAAAATTTCCTGAAACCATTTACACATGAAGTGTCAGAATAGTAGAAGGCTGCAGCGCACAAAGTGACCACTCTATTAATTGTTCTTTTCAAAAGGTATTCAATAACTCGCACTCCCTTTCTCTTGCCCCACAACTATACAAGTTATTTCTTCTGCACGTTTGAATGGTATTATTGAAGCTACTTTGACTACACTTAACCTAAGCGTATTCTAGATCATCATAGTTTGCTTTCTCTTCACTTGGTCTTTTTTCTTTTGAAGTTTACTTACCACGTACCTCTGTCCTTTTTGGATCGTGATCATTTTGTCAGTGGAACCATCGTTCATCTTTATTATAAGTTTAATCTTATTTGTCCTTAACAAACACCATCACGTTTTTGAATACCTACATTTTTTTTTAACCTGAGGAAAACAACGCCAGCTTCTCTCTAAATTAACTGAAGTCCCACATTCCTTATGCTGTCTTAGCAGCTTTTTGTCCGCATCCTCTTTGGTCTGGACGTTGTTCCAAAAGTATGTTGTCCAGCACTGAACATGCTATTCCAGCTGGGGGAAGATTGATTTTTTTTTTTTTAAGGTTTAGCATGAATTCCTTGCTTTTGTACTGTGTACCGCTTCAAAAAGCCAAGGATACTGTATTGATTTTAATAGTCTTCTCAACTTATCCTGTCTACTTAAGTTTTTGTGTATGTACATGTTTCTTCATTCCTGCACTCTGCTAAATTGTATCATGTAATTCTTCCTACTGAAATGCATACATTTCTCTGTAGTAAATTTCATGTCATGTGCCTATCTATTTCATTATTTCATATTTCATAGTCATAGAGTCCTACAGCACAGAGACAGACCCTTCAGCCCAAACTGGTCCATGCTGATCAAAATGTCCATCTGCACTAACCCCATTTTCCTGCACTTGGCCCATATCCTTCTAAAGCTTTCCTATCCATGTATTCGTCCAATGCCTTTTAAATGTTGTTAATGTACCTGCCTCAACCAATTCTGCTGGCAGCTTATTCCATTTGCATACCACCCTCTGCTTAAAAAAAAAAAATTGCCCCTTGGGTTCCCATCCACCCCCCCCCCCCGCCCTCTTTAGCTTAAACTGAGGCCCTTTAGTCCTTGATTCCCCAAACCTGGGAAAATGACTGAGATGAGTGCATTCGCCCTATCCGTGCCTCTCATGATCTTACACACTTTAAGATTCCCCCCTTGTCTTCGCTCTAAAGAAAAAAAATCCTAGCTTGTCCAACCTCTCTCTGTAACTCGGTCCCTTGAGTCCTGGCAACATCCTTGTAAATTTCTTCACTCTCTTCTTTTTGTTTCCAGTTTAACAACATCCTTCCTGTAGCAAGGTAACAAAAACTGCATACAATACTCCAAGTGCGTCCTCCCCAATGTCTTGTACAACTGCAACACAACTTCCCAATTTCTATGATAGTTTCAAAGATAGTAGGAACTGCAGATG